GAGAGAGAGAGAGAGAGAGGGAGGGAGGGAGGGAGGGAGAGAGACAGACAGACAGATAAACAGGGAGGGGGGGAGGAGGAAACAGAGAGAGAAAAAAAGAGGACAGAAAGAGAAAGAGAGAGGAAGACGGAGAGAAAGAGAGCAAAGCTTTCAAATTTCATTAGTCAGTCTCTCCCACCTGTTGTTGTGCTTGCAGTGGAGGGTTGGGAGGGGCGAGGTCAGGCCCCTCATTCATGGGATAGGCATTGCCATTGGCCACGTAATGCATGCTGTCGCCCTGAGACTCCTCCCCCTCCATCCCGCCCCCCTCTCTGCTCATCTCCATCTCCAGCAGTTTCTCCCGTCGCTTGGCCACGCCAATTTCGTTGGGGAAGACGGAGATTTGCACACTGCGGACTAACAGACTGCGGAAGACCAAAGAAATAAAAACTTATATATATTTTAAAGACTAAACAGGACACCAAAGAATTTGTATCCTTACGGGAAATTTTTCTTGCAGTAGCTGATATCTGCAGTTAAGGATAAGTAGAAATAATGCACTGTAAACACACCAGTACTAGCTATGCCTCTTTTTTTTTGTCTGCCTCCTCTCTCTCCCTCCCATCTCTCCCTCCCATCTCTCTCTCTCTCTCTCTCTTTCCCACACACACACACACACACACACACACACATACACACACACATACACACACACGCACACACACACACACACACAAATAGCCTGCAAAGAAACTAATACGTTCTCAGAGTCCTCTCTACATCATCTTAAGCAAAGTCAGCTGTACATTCTACTGTTGTTATGAAGTTTTCTTTTCACAAAACTGAACAAAAATTAAAGCAAACTTAAAACAGTTCAAACAATGAACAAACACGAAAAAAAATACACCAAAACAAATAAAACAAAGACGGGCAGATCCTCAGTCCCAAGCACTGACCGTGGCAACAGAGCCATGAAGCAGATGACGATGGCAGAGTGTATGGCTGTGGCTATGGTGTTCTCCATCACCCAGTACGGGTTGGACGGGTGGTCAAAGGTGAAGAATATGGCGTTGGAGATGAGCAGGAAGCTCCAAAATAGGGCGAAACTCAGCACCAGCGAGGCCCACTGTAGCCATACCTGTTGGGGGGAAAGGGGGAGGGGAGGGGGAAAAGAAAACCGGGTAATGATTACTGCACTGGGATGTATGCTCGCTCATTTTGCGATGGTCAGAGAGTAATAACCAATTTCATCTTATTTCTAAGTTTGAGGGGGGGGAGGAAAGAGAGAGAGAAAGAGAGAGGGAGAGAGAGAGAAAGAGAGAGAGAGGGAGGAGAGGGGGGGGGAGAAGGAGAGGAGAAAGGAAAGAATAGGGTTTTTAGTTAAGTATGAGTAAAGGGACACGACAAAGATCTCCATCTCGTATTTGTGGATCAAGAAAAAGCCTTTGATCAAGTAAATAGAAACAAGCTATGGAAGATCCTGGAGCAGTAAGACATCAAGGGACAACTGCTAGACAACATCAGGGCTATCTCTGCTAACAGCAGAAGCGCAGTCCGCACTACCAGTGGAACATCGGACTAGTTTCAAGTAACATCCGGAGTCAGACAGGGCTGCAATCTCTCCCCTCTGCTATTCGTGACCTACATGGACCAGATTACAAAGGAGGCCAATCCAGACCCAGAGGCACTCAATGAACATTTGTTTGCAGACGACCTTGCAATGATGAACAACAAGACCCAGCTACAGGAGCATATGAACTTCTCCTGAAACATCCCAATATCCCCATGAGCACCAAGGCGAAGCTCATCAACGCCATTTTTCTTCCAACACTCACATGTCAGTGCCAGACATGGTCCCTAACAAAAGCCCTAGAGAGGAAACTGGTCACATATGAGAAGAAATGCTTAAGGGGAGGGGCTACACCCCCAAAATCAAAATTCGGCTC